CTACTTTCAGTCATAAGATGGATAAGATAAGATTTTCTTCTGATTTTTAATCCCGGAGGGTTATCCACCCAGGATAACTGAAGAAAGTCAGTGCGTCATCGAAGTCTAACTTATTTCCATTGGGGTCCTCAATCTTGTAACCCAGGATGCGATCCACACCAGTCGGCTAACACCCAGGTACCTGTTTGGTGCTAGGTGAACAGGACAAGAGGTGTAAGGAAACGCGTCGAAATCTTTCCACCCGCCGGGTATCGAACCCGGGCCCTCCGTGTGTGAAGCGGGAGCTTTAGCCACCAGGCCTGAGAGAGGACAGGGAAATATTGAATGCAAGAATCAAGAACAGGGGAATGTAATTGGTAACCAGAAAATGATGGAAACAAAATCCATACACAATTTTAAAAGTAGACGCAATGAAGCTGAGAAGAGCAGGAAACCAGGAGGACCACGAGCCAAGAACCTACAGGGAAATAGATGATTACATGATGGTGCCATGCATTGACCATGGAACTCTCAGAACACAACCCTCAATAATACTTACTTTACATTCCACTAACTGTTTACTGTTAGGTGATCATCAGGACCAGCAGTTGTGACAAAATTTACAAGTACCGTTTCTGCTAACATTTGGGATTTTATTTTTGTAAAATGGACCAATGAGGAAGAATGAAGTTTGTGTAAATGAAAACATTTTTTTTTTTAGTTTGTATCTTTGAGGAATGGACAGTCCTTTAAAACGATTAATAATCATTTTGTGTACTTCTTGGAGTTAATTTAAGGCATTCGGTTTTTTTTAATTCCACATCTTGCTGTATTATAACATTGAAAATGGGAAACCTTCCCGCCATGCGCACTTGTCATGGAGGAAGTAATTCATGGGTTACTGGCTGTATAGAACGGATGTGTATCCTGCAGGAGGTGTGCACAAGGGTGTGTTATCTGCATCTGTGGTATGAAGTAGTTAGTATGTATAATAATAATATAGTGAAAGTGATAGAGGTGTAGAGGATGAGTGAAGGAGGAGATGGTGTGGCTGGAGGCCAGTGTCTGCCCCGCCATGGCGCTGCTCTTGTTCCACTGTAAACAATACTACTCTCACCTAGTCTAAACTAGGTGTTTACACACGCCAGCCTTTACTCTTAGGCCTACACACTAGTGCAACAGGTACTCCAGGATACATTATGTCCTCAGCATCTAGCTATGTGCTCTGTTAAGACGTTTATTGTCTCAAGTTTGTAGCTGGTGGGATCGATCGCTGGTGCGGGCAAGAAGGACATGTGTGCACCTTGATTGGAAGCCATTGTGTATTAAGATTTATGGTCTTGCGCACATATATTTTGACTAAACTGCTGTCTTCGTGAAATACTTAGAAAGCTTGTTAAGTACATGTTGATGTAAGATAAAAATAACTGCAAAAGACGACTGGAATTTTTTTATTCTAAACATGTTTGAGGTGCTGTGTTACTGTCAGGAAAGATGCAAGTGATTTTGACATTGTTTTCAGGACATTGCAATTTTATTTGTACGCCTAATTTTATGATGCACTATTGGAGTTTTTATATTGTAGGTAAAATTGAAAGTTGATTATGTAGAGTCTCGTTGCTGGTTGGTATTTTCACCACAGTACATGCAGCCACATAGTGATTTATCTAATTTTGGTTGTAAAAAAAGTTGGTACCATTGCCTTTAACTACATTAACCCCGAAAGCCTCCCAGACACCACAGTACAGTCTCCATGTTGAATTCTTTTTTCATGGTAGTACATGCTTTGTTTCTCATAGTAGATTTATTGACTGATTTAAATATTTATTCTAAGCAGGTCTTTGCACTCATCCATTGTCACTCCTTTATTCATGTATAAAGTTATCCAAGTCTCTGTCCTTTTAAAATTGAAATTTCTGAAATTTTAATTCATTGTATCCTATAGAGTTGGGACTTAGTTGGACATTTGTAACACTTTATTTATATCCTTTTATGCCTGTCTTACATTTGTCCACTTAATCATTCACCCCTTCCCCCCACATTATACTTTTAATTAAGAGAGTGGCATAACCCTTGGTGATAAATACCAAGGACCAAAACATTTTTTAATAAATATGTCCTAGTGTTTACTTATGTGTTTTTTGAAACCAGCTAAGAGAGTAGATTCTGAGTTCTTAATTATTGCTGAAGCTTTCTGCTTAATAACTTGCACTTATGCTCTTCCACTTAATTTTGTCATCAAAAATTTAATACATTTTATTTTGAAAATTTAGTTTACTTTTTCAAACTTGAATAAAGGATTTGATTCCCTCTTGTTCTTGTCTACTTATTATTTCCTTCTCAAGGTTTCTTTTTTGCTCTTATTTTTTCATTTGATTTGTTTATATCTCTTGATTCATCTCTGGCTTGGCCTGATTCCAGTATATTTTTCCAAATAGTTTTTTTTATTTACTGTTTACCTTATTCCCAGGTCCCAATCTAACATTGATGTCGATGTGCATTGGTGAGTTTTTCACGTGTAAATGTAAAAAAAAAATTAATCCAACCAAACCCAGTGTAACCCAGCATAATATAACCTAATGTATAGTAATAAATAATGATACACCACTGTTGAGGGTAAAAGCACACAATATTGCAGTGAGGAAGTGATGAAAGGGAGTGCATGGCTGTGGTGGGGAGGGGAGGACACACCAGTGTCCTCCCCTCCCCTCCCCCAGCCACCTACACCAGGTTTACAATGTCATTATTATTTTTATTGTATTATTAGGGATTATATATCAATAATACAATAAATGTATGTTTCATGTTATGGATGTGAATTTGTTGTAGATGCTCCCAGAGTAATGCAAAGCAGGACTTGAGAATAATACACACATTGGCCTTTTCTAGCTTTCCGGCACCTTTCAATAAACTATTCTTTAATTTTTTTTTATCACCTTTCTTGCATTTATGGCGCTTGAGTCACTACTTATGGCCCTTATAATTCTTATTGACTGGTTTTACTGGTTCATGGTCTCCAGGGTCTAGTCATATCTACTCTTGAAATCATGTATGGTGTTGGCTTTCACCGCCTCTTCACGTGTTCACATATTATCACCCTAAGACTCGCTATCCTAAGACTTCAGAAGTATTGCACTTCTTAAATTTCCCTGGAAATTTTGGAAATATTGAGCAGATATTTCAAGTGTTATTTAAAAGTAAAATGTACAAAAACACAATAGCATCTGCAGTGTTGCATATTTCATATGAGGTCACTCTGTCAAGGTATATTATATAAAACTTGATTTTTCTTTGAATATCAGTTATTTTACTTGTACATTTTAAATGCCTATGAATTTAGAATATGATTATTCTATATTCTTTTTCAGAAATTATGAGGTGCTATCTTGGCTAATTTACTGCTTCGTACTACTGAAAATTTAAACAAAATGGATGCAGGTGTCCTTAGGATGGAGGATGATCCAGATGGCAATAGTCAGCAAGTTGCTGTGATTATGACTGGCCAGGTAAGGCTGCTTCTGAGACATACATACATACATAGTATAGGGGACCCTCAGTTAACGACATTAATCCGTTCCAGAGAGCTTGTCTTTAACTGATTCTGTCGTCCGAATTAATTTTCCCCATAAGAAATAATGGAAATCCAATTAATCCATTCCAGACACCCAAAAGTATTAAAAAAAATAATTTTTTTACATTATTATTATCACACTGGCCTATTCCCACCAAGGCAGGGTGGCCCAAAAAAGAAAAATTTTCACCATCATTCACTCCATCACTGTCTTGCCAGAAGGGTGCTTTACACTACAGTTTTTAAACTGCAACATTAACACCCCTCCTTCAGAGTGCAGGCACTGTAATTCCCATCTCCAGGACTCAAGTCCGGCCTGCCGGTTTCCCTGAACCCCTTCATAAATGTTACTTTGCTCACACTCCAACAGCATGTCAAGTATTAAAAACCATTTGTCTCCATTCACTCCTATCAAACATGCTCACGCATGCCTGCTGGAAGACCAAGCCCCTCGCACACAAAACCACCTTTACCCCCTCCCTCCAACTTTTCCTAGGCCGACCCCTACCCCGCCTTCCTTCCACTACAGACTGATACACTCTTGAAGTCACTCTGTTTCGCTCCATTCTCTCTACATGTCCGAACCACCTCAACAACCCTTCTTCAGCCCTCTGGACAACAGTTTTGGTAATTCCGCACCTCCTCCTAACTTCCAGACTACGAATTCTCTGCATTATATTCACACCACACATTCCCCTCAGACATGACATCTCCATTGCCTCCAGCCTTCTCCTCGCTGTAACATTCATCACTCATGCTTCACACCCATATAAGAGCGTTGGTAAAACTATACTCTCATACATTCCCCTCTTTGCCTCCAAGGACAAAGTTCTTTGTCTCGACAGACTCCTAAGTGCACCACTCGCCCTTTTCCCCTCATCAATTCTATGATTCACTTCATCTTTCATAGACCCATCCACTGACACGTCCACTCCCAAATATCTGAATACATTCACCTCCTCCATACTCTCTCCCTCCAATCTGATAACCAATCTTTCATCACCTAATCTTTTTGTTATCCTCATAACCTTACTCTTTCCTGTATTCACTTTTAATTTTCTTCTTTTGCACACCCTACCAAATTCATCCACCAATCTCTGCAGCTTCTCTTCAGAATCTCCCAAGAGCACAGTGTCATCAGCAAAGAGCAACTGTGACAACTCCCACTTTGTGTGATTCTTTTTCTTTTAACTCCACGCCTCTTGCCAAGACCCTCGCATTTACTTCTCTTACAACCCCATCTATAAATATATTAAACAACCACGGTGACATCACACATCCTTGTCTAAGGCCTACTTTTACTGGGAAATAATTTCCCTCTTTCCTACATACTCTAACTTGAGCCTCACTATCCTCGTAAAAACTCTTCTCTGCTTTCAGTAACCTACCTCCTACACCATACACCTGCAACATCTGCCACATTGCCCCCCTATCCACCCTGTCATACGCCTTTTCCAAATCCATAAATGCCACAAAGACCTCTTTAGCCTTATCTAAATACTGTTCACTTATATGTTTCACTGTAAACACCTGGTCCACACATCCCCTACCTTTCCTAAAGCCTCCTTGTTCATCTGCTATCCTATTCTCCGTCTTACTCTTAATTCTTTTCAATAATAACTCTACCATACACTATACCAGGTATACTCAACAGACTTATCCCCCTATAATTTTTGCACTCTCTTTTGTCCCCTTTGCCTTTATACAAAGGAACTATGCATGCTCTCTGCCAATCCCTAGGTACCGTACCCTCTTCCATACATTTATTAAATAATTGCACCAACCACTCCAAAACTATATCCCCACCTGCTTTTAACATTTCTATCTTTATCCCATCAATCCCGGCTGCCTTACCCCCTTTCATTTTACCTACTGCCTCACGAACTTCCCCCACACTCACAACTGGCTCTTCCTCACTCCTACAAGATGTTATTCCTCCTTGCCCTGTACACGAAATTACATGAAATATGCATTTCCCTACATAGAAAACAATGAGACATGCAGAATGAATACATAAATAATAAAATGACACTTACCTTAATTGAAGATATATTGATGTGTGATGAGACGGGAGGAGGGGAAAGGATGGAGGAGTTTACAATTGTTTGGAAGGGGAATCCCCTTTCATAAAGACTTTTCTGGGGTTACCTCCCTTTGTTTTTTAATGCCACTAGAACCAACTTGAGTCACTGGACCCCTGTTGCACCAAAAATCTGTCCAGAGAGCTCTGTTTCTGGCATCTGTTTAAGATGTCCCTAAAATGGGACACAGCATTGTGATTGTAGAGGTTGCCAGCATGGCCTGCAACAGCTGTGTCAGGGTGATGTTCATCCATAAATGTTTGCACATAAGAAAGCAGGAATACTGCAGCAGACATGTTTTCCCATACTAGGCAGGTCCTTCACAAACCATCCCACTAACAGAATTGTATTTGCCCAACCCAATTTTCAGTGTTTCCCAAGCAATAAGCTTTGATAATTATATTCACTCATGCACAAGTCCCAATCAAATCAAATCGTGTGTGTGGGGAAGTACCCTGGCTGGTGTGTAAGGAAGTACCCTGGCTGGTATGTGGGGAAGTACCCTGGCTGGTATGTGGGGAAGTACCCTGGCTGGTATGTGGGGAAGTACCCTGGCTGGTATGTGGGGAAGTACCCTGGCTGGTATGTGGGGAAGTACACTGGCTGGTCTGTGGGGAAGTACCCTGTCTGGTTTGTGGGGAAGTGCCATGGCTGGTGTGTGGTGAAGTATCCTGGCTGGTGTGTGGGGAAGTACCCTGGCTGGTATGTGGGGAAGTACCCTGGCTGGTATGTGGGGAAGTACACTGGCTGGTCTGTGGGGAAGTACCCTGTCTGGTCTGTGGGGAAGTACCATGGCTGGTGTGTGGTGAAGTACCCTGGCTGGTGTGTGGGGAAGTACCCTGGCTGGTATGTGAGGAAGTACCCAGGCTGGTGTACATAAAAAAGCACGAACACTGCAGCAAACCTGTTGGCCCATACTACCACCCACTATCACCATCACTACCACCACCACTTTCGTATCTTTCTACAAACGTTTTTTTGACTAATATAGTGTTTCTCACCCTCTTTACCAAAGGGCTGGCACTAGCTTTCTTTGGGCCCATGGTGGCTTAATTAGCAGTTACTAGCACTAAAAACAATGGAATAACACAAAATGTATCATGTGTATGCGTGGAATCATCCTCACTGGCTTGTAAACAATGGCACACTAGCTGTACATGGAGTGTCCAGGGGCTCACTCCGCACGGACACGTTCAGGACAATTGTCTTTAACTGAATTCTTTGTCGTTAACTGAGCCAATATTTTGACTCAAAAACGTGTCATTATCTGATTTTTACGTTATCCAATGACATCGTTAACTGAGGGTCCACTGTATGCATTTTTTTTTTTAACACATCGGCTGTTACCCCCTGAGGCAGGGTGACCCAAAAAGAAAAACTTTCATCATTCAACACTATCACAATCCTTCATACGTAATCACTGTCTTTGCAGAGGTGCTCAGATACAACACTTGATGTCACTCTAAACACCCAATATCCTAAACCCCTTCTTTAAAGTGCAGGCATTGTACTTCCCATTTCCAGGACTCAAGTCCGGCTAACTGGTTTCCCCGAATCCCTTCACAGAATATTACCCTGCTCATACTCCAACAGCTCATCAGGTCTCAAAAACCTTTCATCCCCATTCACTCCTATCTAACATGCTCATGCACGCTTGCTGGAAATCCAAGCCCCTCACCCACAAAACCTTCCTCCAACCTTTCCTGGGATGACCCCTATCCCACCGTCCTTTCCCTACAGATTTGTGTGCTCTCCAAGTCATTCTACTTTGTTCCATCCTTTCTAAATGACCACACCACCTCAACAACCCCTCTTCAGCCCTCTGGCTTATACTTATAGTACGAAATATCTCGGCTAAGGTGCCCCAGACCACTGGGCCAAGCAGTTCTCTATAGTTATAAATTGAATTTAAAATTTCACATTTCACTTGTTAACTCAGCCTGGGAACTCTCATGGTGTGTGGAGTCGTGTAGGAATAATTTTGTCTTGCCTTACCCTTCATAATATTAGAACTTGATATTTTTTTTTAGTATGCTCAAACATAACAAATAGATGGCATATTTACAAACATTTGATATTTATCTCATTATGAGTTGGGCTTGGGCCTATGAAGTTAACATTCCAGCTAAGCCGAATTATTAGATGTATGGTGCCCCAGACCTCTGTGTCAGGTTAAGTAAAATTAAACAAATTACTCAGCTCTATTTTTTAGTACCCCTTGTCCTAACACTACTGCTTTCATATTTTTTGTTTTTAATTCTCTACTTCAGTTTTTCACCACTCAAAGAATCCTCTAGTTATAACCCATTTGGTCTTGTTAAAATAGGCAATACCATTTCCACCAGTTTTGTCACTTTTAGTAGAGTATGAATTCCAGAATGTTTCATCTAGTATTAGTACATTATACCAATTTTTGGTACTTTAAATCAGTCGAAGTTTACAAGTAAATACGCCAAAGAAGTTACTTATGGTTGAATATTCTTTTGTTTGTAATGAAACACGTGTCTAACCTTAAATTGCTGACTGAAGAATTTTGTGTTAGGTAGTTTTAAGCTTTTGTTTAATAAATTGTGCAGTCCATTTAACACAATATTATATGTGCAGGTATATCGAGATGCTGGGTTGAAGTATAGTAAACATCCTGTAGTAGAAGGACTTCTCTATGATAAACTGTGCAAGATTGGTAAACACAAGCTTAGAGATGATGTTCGAAAAATGGCCCTACACATTGCAATGTCGGTAAGTATCATTATTTTATTGTTACCATAGAAGCAGACACTTCTTGTATTATTTGATGAAAATTTGGTAAGCTTACTGATTGATCAAGTTGTCTGTCTCTAATGTGTGGGGAATCTTGGAGTTATACACTTGTTGGTCCAGTACACTGTTGGACTACACAAAAAGCAACAATAGCCATAATTGAGAAGAGGCAATTTGTCAGGGAGGATTGATTAATAAGCATCTAGTTTGTGATAAATTGCTTAAAGGACTTGGTATCCAGCTGATACAGTGGCCTTTGTTCGGCTCTGGATATTTTACTAAGATGTTACTTTGTATGGAAGGTTTTGCAGTGTGTTATAAAATGTCATGTTAGTGAATACTTTTGTCTTTCCCTATAATATTTGATCTTTTCACAGGTGACTTGCTTCCATGGAAGTTAGAATTGAGAGGAAAGGTGTCAAATTCATGTTTAGGAAATCATTGGTTCCAAAAAAGTATCATCCACTAGGGAGGCATTCAGTTGGTGTGTGGAAACAATTTAGAGAAGTGAATTAGCAGGTGTTTTATATCTGCCATATCTCAAATTTTTGTAAATAATAAATGGTTCTATATACTAAGATGATAGCTAATGAAGTGTAAAACATTGTTATGGAGTTTTTTTATAGAAATGTGTTTGAGGTAATGAAAAATATTAAGATGAATTTTGTAAACAATTAGGTAGATAATCAAGATTAATAATAAATTATGAATTGATGAGCGAGAAAGAGAGAATAAATGGAAGGGGTCAATTATAGAATACGTTGGACCCTCAGCTAACAATATTAATCCGTTCCTGAAAGCTCATCGTTAGCTGAAATTATAGTTAGCTGAATTAATATTCCCTATAAGAAATAATGGAAATCAAATTAATCCGTGCAAGACACCCCAAAGTATGAAAAAAAAATTTTTTTACGACATGAAATATTAATACACACAAACTGACCCTTACCTTTATTGAAGATCTGGTGATGATTGATGGGATGGGAGGAGAGGAGAGTGTGGAAGTTGTTATTGTTTAGAAGGGGAATCCCCTTCCATTAGGACTTGAGGTATCAAGTCCTTTTCCGGGGTTACTTCCCTTCTTCTTTTAATGCCACTAGGACCAGCTTGAGAGTCACTGGACCTCTGTCGCACAACATATCTGTCCATAGAGGCCTGTACCTCCCGTTCCTTTATGACTTTCCTAAAGTGGTTCACAACATTGTCGTTGTAATAGTCACCAGCATGGCTTGCAATAGTTGTGTGAGGGTGATTTTCATCAAAAAAGCTTTGCACTTCAAGCCACTTTGCACACATTTCCTTTTAATCTTTGAGGTAGGCAACTTCTTCAATTTCTCTATCTCCTCCTCCGAAGCAGTTTCCTCAGATCTGGCCTCTTGCTGTTGAAGATGATCTTGCAGCTCATCAGTGGTTAGTTCTTCATTGTCCTCCTCCACCAACTCTTCCACATCCTCCCCACTAACCTCCAGCCACATGGACTTTCCCAATGCCACAATTGATTCCACAACTGGCATAGGCTTCTCAGGGTTAGCCTCAAATCCTTCAAAATCCCTTGTGTCTAGCCTCAAATCCTTCAAAATCCCTTGTGTCTACACATTCTGGCCACAGTTTCTTCCAAGCAGAGTTCAAGGTCCTCTTAGTCACTCCGTCCCAAGCCTTACCTATAATGTTTACACAACTGAGGATGCTAAAGTGATCTCTCCAAAACTCTCTTAGAGTCAATTGAGTTTATGTGGTCACTACAAAGCACTTTTGAAACATAGCTTTTGTGTAGATTTTTTTGAAGTTTGAAATGACCTGCTGGTCCATGGGCTGCAGGAGAGGAGTGATATTAGGAGGCAAAAACTTGACCTTAATGAAGCTCATTTTCCCAGAAAGTCGCTCTGCCAAGTCTGAAGGATGACCAGGAGCATTCTCTAATACCAGGAGGCACTTAAGGTCCAATTTATTTTCCAGGAGGTAATTTTTCACAGTGGGGGCAAATGCATGGTGTAACCAGTCATAGAAGAGGTCTCTAGTGACCCATGCCTTACTGTTTGCCCTCCACATCACACACAAATTAACCTTGAGGACATTGTTTCTCCTGAACACTCTGGGAGTTTGAGTGATACACCAATAAAGGCTTCACTTTGCAATCACCACTAACATTAGCACACATCAAGAGAGTAAGCCTGTCTTTCATAGGCTTATGTCCTGGGAGTGCCTTTTCCTCCTGAGTAATGTAGGTCCTGTTTGGCATTTTCTTCCAAAACAGGCCTGTTTCATCGCAATTAAACACTTGTTCAGGTTTCAATTCTTCACTGTCTATGCAATCCTTGAATTCCTTCACATATTTTTCAGCCGCTTTTTGGTCCGAACTGGCAGCCTCACCTTGCCTTATCACACTATGTACGCCACTACGATTCTTAAATCTCTCAAAGCAACCTTTGCTGGCTTTAAATTCACTCACATCACCACTAGTTGCAGGCATTTTTCTAATTAAATCGTCATGCAACTTCCTAGCCTTTTCACATATGATCGCTTGAGAGATGCTATCTCCTGCTATCTGGTTTTCATTTATCCACACCAATAACAGTCACTTAACATCATCTATCACTTGCGATCTCTTATTCGAAAACAAAATTGCACCTTTTGCAAGAACTGCTTCCTTGATTGTCGTTTTCTTGGCCACGATAGTAGCGATGGTTGATTGGGGTTTGGCATACAACCTGGCCAGCTCCGAGACACGTACTCCACTTTCGTACTTAGCAATTATCTCTTTCTTCATATCCATAGTAATTCTCACCCTTTTTCCTGCAGGGTTGGCACTAGAAGCTTTCTTGGGGCCCATGGTGACTTATTTTGCAGGTCTTTCTTCTTTCAACACACCGGCCATATCCCACCGAGGCGGGGTGGCCCAAAAGGAAAAACAAAAGTTTCTCCTTTTACATTTAGTAATATATACAGGAGAAGAGGTTACTAGCCCCTTGCTCCCGGCATTTTAGTCGCCTCTTACAACACGCATGGCTTACGGAGGAAGAATTGTGTTCCACTTCTCCATGGAGGTAAGAGGAAATAAACAAGAACAAGAACTAGTAAGAAAAATAGAAGAAAACCCAGAGGGGTGTGTATATACGTATATGCTTGTACATGTATGTGTAGTGTGACCTAAGTGTAAGTAGAAGTAGCAAGACGTACCTGAAACCTTGCATATTTATGAGAGAGAAAAATGGACACCAGCAATCCTACCATCATGTAAAACAATTACAGGTTTCCGTTTTACACTCACTTGGCAGGACGGTAGTACCTCCCTGGGCGGTTGCTGTCTACCAACCTACTACCTAGGATTTTGCAGGTACAATCACTAAAAACACTGTGATAATATGAAATGTTCCGATTGTATGCATGAATGTGACCGCACTGGCTGGCTTGTAAACACTGGCACCCATGGGACAACTGAGGCGCGCTCAGGCCACACGTGGACGCGTCTTGAACGAATTGCGTTGAGTGAGTTTTTTAGCGTTAGCTGAGGCAAAGTTTTTGCATTAAAATGTATCGTTAGCCGGATTTAACGTTAGCTGATGCCATCTTTAGCTGAGGGTCCACTGTATATTTATCTAAAAAATAAGATGGTGTGTGAGGAATGTGTATAGTAGAGGATAGGTGAATATTAGTACAGTATGTTTAAGAGTAGGGATGAGCCAAAGTCTCAATATCAGTATAGGCTGACTTTGATGGTATCGGTATCAGTGAGTATTGGTTCATTTTGATGGTATCAATACTAGTATCAGCTGATTTTGATGGTTCTGGTAATGACCTAAAATTGAATATTGGCAAAAACTTCATCGTCCCATCCCCATGTAAGAGTCAAATATTTCCGTCTGTGTCCGTGACAGGTGTTCAGCATGTTTGTTGGGAACAAACATGTGATAAGAGTGTTGATCATGTGATGACTTTCTCGATAATTGTATCACAAGGAAAAAATATTTACTTAAAAGGTTAATTTTCCATTCCAGGTGTCTGACCATGAATTTCGACCAACTGTAGCTTGGCTAGACAACTTCATGCGCCGATTCTGCCTCTCGAAGAAAAAAATGGGATTCCACAGCTCAGCCATGTTGAAGCAAAAGGTGTTGTGTTGTCAGCCTCTGTAGCAGATACCATTTTACTCTTAAATGTTAAGGCTTATTGATTACATACAGTAGACTCTCACATAGTATTATGGTTACATTGCTGAAACCTGCATTTTATGAAAAGAAAAATGGGAAAAATTGGGTTAAATTTTTGAGATCTCCCTCCAAAGAATGCCATACAAGATTACCTAATTTTTTCTTCAAATTCTGTTTCGTGTTACTTGATGTGCAAGTGTGTGGAGAGGGTTAACTCTTGGAGTTGGTCCTGTAGCACTACAATTTTGAAGCCAGTGGTTGGTCCCATAGTTCTATGCCATGAGCTCAGCTCACCCAGATAAGTTGTGGGTGGTAAATTTTGGCCTAGAATGGGTCCCCATTATGCACTGCAGCACGCAGTGTGTCATGGAGGGAAAATGTGATAATATTTTTGGTTTAAATCGGTGACTGTGCAGTGTATTTTTGTTTGACTCTTATTATTCTATTCTCAGTTTTTTTCATCTCGTTTGATAGAATGGAAGATATACTACAGAAATAGAAGTGATATTGATTGGTTTGACGACTGAAAGTAGCTTGAAATTGGGCTCAATTAGCAGAAATGTTACATTTTTTGCCGATATTCCAGAATACACAAATGTCACTCGTCCAATACACATCCGACTGGCCAGTCTGATATGCATTCGGAATACACTGACATTATTTATACAATTATTACAATAATGCAGTAGTCTGCATAACAGTAAATCTGTTTTTTGTGAATAAAAATTCAAAATGGAAAGCAAGCTTAATATAGAAAAGGCCTGCAGACATAATTGAACAGAGGAAATGTTTTTTAATGCCAGGAATGTCTCCATTGTTTATTCTGGGCCCTATTTTTAAATTGTCAATTTTTGAATTTGTGAAATTGGCCAAATTACCAATTACTGATCATTGTATTGGATAGTTGAAATAGGTAAATGGGCAGTTTCTTGTACTCAGTTGATATAATTGAGGAATACTAGTGAAATAGCTTTGAGTTTGGTCAAATGGAACAATGGAATTGACGAAAATAGGGCTCAAATTGGGTGAAATCGCCAATGCATAAATATCGCCGAGACCACCAACTTTGAGAGTGTAATTCCATAAGTTTTCCATAAAATTTTGTACTTGTGGTTTCATTACTTTTGCAGAAAGATTCTCTATCATTTCTTGAGTTGTTTTTTTTAGTCCTCTTCAAGGGGGGCTTCTTGGCGCAGTGAAGAGGCTCTTGGTCTGAGGAATTAGACCTTTTGGTCTCCTTCCTCAGACCAAACCTAATTACCCCCCCTTCCCTACCCCACCCTCCTTATACCCCCCCTTTTTTTTCCCTTTCCTCCCCTCTCCCCACCCTCCCCTAGTTTCCCATCCCGTTTGTAGCCGCTGGGGTCCTCCCCTCTGGCATTACAGTTTCTAGGTAGGGGGTGGCATGCTGGGGTTCGTCCCTCTCTGTGAGGTCCCTTGGGGGTGATGCAATTTGCCGTGAAATCTGAATTATCTGAAGGTGCCCTGCTCCCTTCCCGGATTTCTGGGAAGAGGGCGAGGTGCCCTTTGGGTAATGAGTGTATCTTCGGAAGCTGCCTTTCGGTTCTAAGAGGTGGTGGCCGAAGGTGGTATGCTTTGTGGTGGGTTTCCGACTGCCCTTTCTTTTGTCCACCAAGGTAGCTCGGTAGATGTGATGCTGCTATCCTGGAACGCTGGTTTACTGGCGTGAAAGGTAGAGTATGGCACGGGTTCCACGCTTCATCTTCACTTCTTATGGGCTCGAGGCACTCTCAGATGAGGGGGTGAACTTCCTGCCCTTTTGTGCTTCTTAGTGACTGTGTCAGCATAGTTGCTGATCCACTGTATATGTTTGTGTAACATATCTGAGTATCACATGGCATCACATGCTAGCCCTAGGCCTAGCATGGAATCATCTATGTAAAATATATAGATGTACTAGCTACGATACTCAGATATGCTACACAAACATATACAGGGGATCAGCAACTATGCTGACAACTGTCCCTCCGCTGTCCCTCTCTTTTTTTCTTTCTTTTTTTTTTTTTTTTTTTTCCTAAAAATAACAAGAGAGGAGATATCATGGAAGATGCACCTTTATTATGGAGTCTTCACCTAATGAAACCCTTTGTCATTCCAAACCCCTTTCTGATCCCACATCCTGTTCTGACCCGGCTTCGTTATCGGTCCATTCTCTCGGCTCTTCTCGTACCCCTGTACCTTCTGCCGGTGATGCTTCGTCACCTGCTTCATGTGCTGCGGCATCACCCGTTTCTGTCCATGCCGCTACTTCTAGCACGCCTTTCACAATGTGTGTGGCTTCCCCAAATACGGTGTGACGGTTTTTGGATCACCCTCCTCCCTCGGGTCAGACCTCCTGTGGTACCACTCCTAAATGTCCAAGACAACCTACTGATGACAGTTCATCGATCATCGCTCAGAAACGACCTACACGACACTCACTACCTTTGCGTACCAGGCTAATGAGTGTGCAGTGGACAAAATTCTTTTCTTTACAAATGACATCTCAAACGGATTATCTGTCTGATCATGGAATTGGTAAAACTCTTTTAAAGCACGTTGGCCAAAATATGTCTTTCCACACACTTCAAAGCGGTGCGTGTGTCGTAACTGTGCAGAATTCAGAGCAAGCTCATGCTCTCTCCTGCATCACTTCCATTGATAACATACCAGTCGCCGTTCATAAGCACACTACTCTTAATTCTTGCAGTGGTACTGTGGTCTTATCGCGTACCATTGTACAGAGTGATTTTTTGTCTTGCGGCGATGATATTTTAGAACAGTTCTTCAGAATCTCCCTATTCTTAAGGTAGATACATCCTGCCTGCTTGTGGGCGGAGGCATTTTCCTAGTAACATCGCTCATTTAACCTTCAACTGCCATGAACTTCCGTCCTCTGTCTATATTGCGGGTCATTGTTTAGAGGTCCGTCAAGTACAGTGGACCCCCGGTTATTGGCCGTAATCCGTTCCTGAAGGTCGGCTGATAACCGAAATGGCCGATAACCGAATTAATATTTCCCATAAGAATTAATGGAAATAAAATTAATTCGTTCCAAACAAAAATACAGGTCTCCCTCAACATTCGCGAGGGTTAGGGGATCAAGAGCCTCTTGAATGTTGAAAAACCGTGAATGTTTGGTGCCCCAATATATTGTAGGGAAATATAATACAATGCTGCTTCCTTAACCCTTTGACTGTCGCGGCCGTATATATACGTCTTACGAGGTACCGCATTTGACGTATATATACTCATAAATTCTAGCGGCTTCAAATCAAGCAGGAGAAAGCTGGTAGGCCCTCATGTGAGAGAATGGGTCTGTGTGGTCAGTGTGCACCATATAAAAAAAATCCTGGAGCACGCAGTGCATAATGAGAAAAAAAAACTCCGACCATTTTTTTTAATTAAAATGCTGACTTTGTGGTCTATTTTCGTATAGTATTTATGGTTGTATTCTCGTTTTCTTGATCTCATTTGATAGAATGGAAAACATATTATAGAAATAGAGGTGATTTTGATTGATTTTACTATAAAAAGAACCTAGAAATGGGGCTCAAAGTAGGGAAAATGTTTGATTTTTGCCAATGTTCAAAAGTGAACAAATGATGTCTTTGTCCAATAAATGTCCAACTAGCCATTCTAATATGCAGTCATGAATGGGTTGATGTTATTTATACAATTATTACAGTATTGCAGTAGTCTGCATAATAGTAAGTCTTCTATTTTTTGTTTGAATAAAAATTCAAAATAGAAAGCAAGAGTAATATCAGAGGGGCCTGGAGACATGACTGATGAGCAAAGAAAATGTTATTTTAGAGCCAGGAATGTCTGCATTGTTCATTCTGGATCTTATTTTGAAATTGTCATATTTTTTAGTTTTCGTGAAATTGGCCAAATTGCAAATTTCTGACCACATTATTAGGCAGTTGAAATTGGTAAATGGGCAGTTTCTTGTACTCAATCGATAGAAAAAATGGAGTTCTAAAGAAATAGCTATGAGTTTGGGCGACTGGAACAATGGAATTAGCCGAAAATAGGGCTCAAAGTCGGCAAAATCGCCGATTTGTAAACAGCGCCGAGGTCGCTAACTTCACGAGAGCATAATTCCATCAGTTTTCCATCAAATTTCGTTTTTTTGGTGTCATTACAATCGGGAAAAGATTCTCTATCATTTCATAAGAAAAAATAATTTTTTTTTTTTTTTTTGAAATTTTGCGACACCAGGAGACACCTCAGGATTGGGGGTTGCGACAGTCAAAGGAATAACTTGTCCAACCATGAACAATCATAAAGTACATGAAAACGTCGTAAATTGTACTAAATACATACGTTATGCCTTAATAACATGCATGTTATTAAATACCACTGCCTCCACCACTGCGAGTCCCTACTACCCTCCCTCCGACCCCCCGCAACTGGCAGCCAGCCCTCCCACCACTGTGTGGTGAGTGTTTTGTTTGTTCATTATTTGCTATTAAACTACAGTATAAATAATGTAAACCAATCCATGACTGCATATTATTATGGGTATTCAGACAGGTATTGGACGGTGACATCATGTGTTTACTCTTGAACACAGCAAAGAATCAAACATTTCTGCTACTGCTAATAATAATAATAATAATAATAATAATAATAATAATAATAATAATAATAATAATAATATAATAATAATAATAAATACAATAAAATTGAAGAAGGAAATTGTACAAAAATACGAGGGTTGAAGCAGTGGTGAAGGAAGTGGTTGACACATCGTCAGTGTGGCTTTGTTTATGCTAGAGTGAGTATTAGTCTCTGTGCTCTTCCAAACATTTCACAATAATTCATTGTATTTGGTGCTTGTAGATTGAATGTGACTGGAGTGGTTGAGGCAGTGGTAGAGGCACTGCCTCTATAACTGCCTCTATCACTGCCTCTATCACTGCCTCTATCACTGCCTCTATCACTGCCTCTACCAC